CAATAATCACCTAACTGATCTGTCCTGGAGTACACAGAACGATATAATGATATATGATGTCTGCACAGGCAAGAACAGGAAATGAACATTCTCCTCCACCTCAACTCCACCCACATCCTGGCTCTCCTTGTAGTAAGGGGTGCTGCACTGGTCCCAAATTCTCATATGCACTCCACAACCATTGTTCGCTGATAAGTTGTGGTGTTTGCTCAAGGTGTTTAAAAAAAAAAGCTTACTATGTAAATGTTGATCTATGGTCATACCTAATACTGTTACCAAAATAACCTGGCATCTAACAGGCTTGCTGGGAAACACAATGCACATCTGCCCAGAAAATAAGGCAAACTCAAAAGGAAAAAAATGTATGATTTAATTAGCTGGAATTACTTTAATATTGTGTGTGTACATTTGCTTGTGTGTGTTGTCTATAAATAAATGCAGATGACTTAAAATGTGTTTAAAGAAGTATAGCATACAGGTGTTTCACTCTATTACAATAAGTCTTTCTGAGGAATGGTTGCAAAAACTACAAAATAAGTTTCTAGGTAATCATCTAGAAAAGCAATGTGCCCAAAAGTGGCTTATTAATTATTTGATGAAATAGAATTCTTTAATTTCTAGTAATAGAAGTCTGAAATAAATAAATAATAATTTAAAACACAAGAAATATATATATACTAGTTTCACAGTTGAGATAAACAAAGTTTTATATTTAGGCAATGATAGAAAATGAATTTGAAACAAGAAAAATAAGGGTTTTTATAATCGTTGCTCTTAAATTTAAGTGATTCAAAAGATTTTTCTCAGATGTAAAGCTATTCACTGTTGCTGTATAGACTATGTCCATGGTTGAATTATATATGAATTATTAAAACCATGCATTTTGGCTTTGCATCATCCTTGAGAAACTCATTGAGAAAACACAAGCAGGAGGGTAGGGAAGGCAGTAGAGAGACACATGGCTACAAAAGTGAAGGAGGAGGTAGGATGGGTGGCTATAATACAACTATATACAAATATAGGTAATTACAGTATAATTAGAGTTGCTTTTGGAAGTGACCCAATGAGTACTCAGTAAAACCTCTAGTCACACAGCAGACATCTCAGCTTATTCTTCCAAAACCAAGAACAATTATTTAGGGCATGCTCTTGCAGGTGCTTATTTATTTACTGCAGAGCCTTCTGCATACCACTTAAAAGCATAGATGCTATCTCATCATGAAAAAGTTCAGGTAATAAAAAATGGGAATTACAATAAATGATAGAATCATGGATTTTTCCTTAAGCCACTCTTGAATTTTTCAAACACAAAACACACACTCATTCCTGGACATCAAGTGTTGTTTTGAATCTGAACAGACAAAGTGGTGTCTGTTTGATAACAGAAGCAGCAGAAACAGGTGGATGATATGGGAAGTGGCATAAATTAGTTTTTTCACAGGTGTTTATCCTTAGCATAAATTACACATCATCTGAAGTCTAAATAAGAAGTGTTTTCAAGTATGTTTCCTTTTCGTATGCCTATTATATTTTATGGTAATTAATTAGCCTGTCTATTTATTTGGAGATAGGTTCTCGCTCAGTATAGGCTGATCTCTCACTCACTCCATAGCTGAGCACAGCATTGAACTGATCCTCCCAAATGCTAGAATTACAGGAATGTGCTACCGCAGGCAGTGCTGGGGCTGAAACCTAGGCCTTTGAAACGGTTGGACAAGCACACTACTAGCTGAGCTATACCCTCAACCTCAAACACTTCACATTTTAACACCTGATTCTGGTGGCTCTCATTTCCTTTTAGTGATTTAGAGACATTGAACCACTGAAGTTTATTTGCAGTTTTGTTTCTTTGAGGCACTGTGCAGGCTGAGGAATGATTGGCACAGGAGACTGGGCATGACTGGGAGTCTATGTATCTAAAGTGCTGTTGGAGCCGGTGTGCAACTGCGTGCCACAGGAAGAGGGGAGAGGCACAGGGCCACATCTATATCAGCACTGATGAAGGACAGATGCTCACGAGACGGTGTCTGGAAGTCTAGTAGTGGATAAAGGTCTGAGTGGTCCCATAAATCTGGCAGTATCTCAGTTTTTTAACATTGAATCAAGAGGTTTTGAAGGTCTAAGTTCCATGTAGTCTGGTTTAAAGACCCAACTAGGGACTACAATAAGTGTCTTTATAGATTACTTATCATAGGGAATAAGCGTTATTGCTTCATTCAAACTCCCAGAGATTTGAATATCATAGGAGTCTAGTAACTTCCACATATAATAGTTATAAAACTAGCAAGGCAGGTGGCCTTAAGTTTGAACCGACTGTCTAATTCTTCAGGTGAACTAGTCATGACATTTTCTTCTAGGAGTAAAGTATACCTTCATGGCCAGTGGATGGGAATTTCTCAGCCTATTATAATTCGCTGTTTAGCCTCATCTTTGAGAACTTATTTCTAACTTGGAAGTGATGGATTGATGTGGAAGTTGAGACTTTCATCTGATGGAAAAATTTCTTTCCTTATCATAACAATGTCTTTGATTGCACAGAAGTACTCATTATTCTTTGAAAAGACTATATTTTAAAACCTATCACACAAGTTATTGGGTAACCACTCACAAAACACAATAACTCATCACATGGAAATAGGTTATCAGCATTGCGTAGAATGTTGTTGGCAAGGTTCACATGAGAAAATTCCCCCATAAAATCACGTGCTCGAACCCTTGTCCCCAGTTGGTGGTGCAGTTTATGGAGGTTAGGAACTTTTAGGTCATGGAGGCTTGCTGGATGACGTGCATTACTAGGAGTGGGCTTTGAGTTTCTAGCTTTGGCCCACTTCTGATTTGTGACCTTGACTTCCTGTATGACAAAATGGAATCAGCCAGCTTCCTGCTCTAGCTGCCTGCTGACATACCTTCTTTACATGATAAACTCCCTCTGGATCTGTAAGCCAAGTTAAACTCTTCCTTCCACAAGTTGCTTTTGGTCGTGGTATTTTATCTTAGCAACCGAAAAATAACTAACACACATGTATAACAAAATTATAACTGTATTTAACTTTTAATGTTGTTGAATAATACAAAATCCAATATCTTTAATCTGCTATCCCTTAATTCAGAACAAAGGCCCGACCTGATACTGGACTATGTCACTACACCTGCAGGGATCTAATTTGGTTTGGGAAGCACCGTATGATGAGACTTAAAAAAAAATCTATTCACTTAAAGAAAAAAAACAGTATATGCTATACAAAAAAGCGATATGTACTTTATACAGTCTTTCTTCTAGAAGTGGTACTAGAACAACAAAAAACCCACCTGCAAATAAGCCCTTTCTTGTAAATCCAGTCTCCACACCATACTCACTGCCAGGGAGTTCTTACGTGTTTTTGTTTGCTTTTTTCTGCTCAAATGCTTTCAGTGGCTCCCGGTACATCTTTCCAGCCTCTGTTATGAATCCAGTCATACTCTTAATGAATCCTGTCACTCTCAAAATTACTGGCCTCCTTACTATTTGCTGTGTTCATTTGGGGGTTTCCTCTCCTCTGGACTTTTATGTCTAGAAATGCCCCTTTCTTCATGTCTGCTGTTAAAATAACATTTACCCATTCAAACATTGTTTACATTTACAATTGTTTTGATTATGCTTCCTTGCTTTACCCTATTGTCATACCTTTAAGAATAAAAACTGAATTCTCCTAAGTTTTGAATCACATGATGTGCCTAAGGCAACGCTTTGAAGGCGGTGGGCACTAGACAAGTTGTGCTGTAAAGACAGACATAAGGGTTCCCAGGTAAACTGAACGCTGGGGCAAATGGAACTCATATCTCAGGAGGTTACTCAGGAGCTGTGGTACTTTGTGACTTCTCAGAGACTTAAATTCCTTTTGCAGGGTTATATTGCTCAGGGCTTTGTAGAGAGACCGAATTAGGAGACTGGATATATTGATGTACGAAACACCAAGAACCCAGCAGCTGCTCAGTTAAGAGGCTGGATGTCTCTGCAGCTCCCACCTGGTGCAGAGGCCTGGGGAATTCCTGCAGAGCCACTGGTCTCCAGTTCACTCGGAAAGACGGGGGAAAGCTGGCTCTGACGCCATCTAAGAATGGCTTCAGTGGCAACAGGATGGATGAACTTGCCAGCCCTGGGTAGGGAGACCAGCAGCCACAGTTAGAGAGCAGTACCTGCTCCTGCTCTCCACACGTTTACACTCTCATCTTCACACTGATGGCCCGGATGTTCAAACAAAACGATGAGAAGACCATCCAGAAAGTGGTACCAGTCCCACACTGCCTAACATCCTAAAGTCCATTTCTCAGTCTTATAAGTGCTAGAATGATCAACTTCGGGGAAATTCAAGAATGTTACTCAGATTTTTAAGAGGCAGGATGTCTGAGAAGCAATAGAAAACAAGTTTTACACACACACACACTATATCTATACATCTTTATATATACATATAAACATATTCACATATGGTATATATGTGCTCACATATGAGTATATAGCTATTCCGATCTATAACATGTGTACATGCGTGTATGTATATCTATTCCTATATGTATACATGTATGTATGTGTCTGCACATGTATATATTATTTACGCATGTGTATATATTAATATATTCATAGAGATATAATGTTTATGTTTGTGTGTGTGTATATCTGTGCATGTGTGTGTTTGTATATCTCTGTGAAAATCTAGGTTCAGATGCACCTGTACAGCACGGATGAAACTAAACTAGTCTGTTTCTGTTTATAAGACTTAAAGTTTCTCTGTCTGGGAATGAAAGTTGCCCACAGAGGAAATCATCAGGAGCTTGGCAAGCTCTCTTTTGCAGTAACTTAGGTGTGCACCGCCCGCGGCCAAGGACTGGCTGTCCCCGGGTTCCCTCAACGCTGCCAGGCTGGCCGAGGCGGTGCTGCGCTGTGCGGAGGCCCTCCCGCGGGAGGCGCGGGCGTGGAGGGCGTGGGCCGTGGGCGGGGCGAGTCCCGCAGCCCGGGTGCTGGGAGCTGTCAGTGTCAGGCACAGGAGAGAGGAAGTGATCGCTTCGGAGGAGCGCAAGCCTAACAGTGCAGCGTGAGACAGCACATCCTGCAGGCGCAGGCCCGCCGCTCTCCGTCCTCCCGTGCCTCCTCCACCGCCCCTGTGATCCTCCACGGACAGCGTCCAGGTAACCGGTGGGTGGGAGGTCGCGTTTCCGCGCAGACACCTCGGAGCCCCTCCGCAGCCCTCCGCCCGGGTGACATCAGCAGGACACCGGGAGCAGTATGACAGCAGTGACCGCTGCAGCGACCACTGGGCACAGCCTGGGTGCCTTCCTTAGCTCCTATGTTCTCTGGTGCCTCAGGCGGGAGCCCTCCAGCGGCAGCCCCTGCGGCAGCTGCCCAGGAGTGGAGAAGCGCAGGCTGAGGAGAAAGGGTCAAGGGTGTTCTCACCTTGTGGCCCACTTGTGCACTGGGAGAGGCATACCAAAGCGCCTCGCCTTGGTCTTCTCTTGGGGAGCAAAAGATCTGCAGCTTTGCTGTCCGCACCCCTGTGGGCTACCAGCTGATGGCTCCTGGGAAGGGAGAGCTGCAGAGTGAGGGGAAGGATGCTGTTTGATTACATTTCCGAGCTGTCTGTAAAGCTCTTGGATGCTGTTGCTACCCACCAAGTCGGAGGGCGAGAATGCACTTCCAAGGGAGCTTTAATTAAACACTCACGCAAGATGCCAGTTTCTCTCTCTGCTGGATTTTTTTTTTAAAAAAAAAGTGTGGCTGGGGATGTGTTTTGGTAAACACCTTCACGGCTGCCTGACTCTCCTTCCCCCACTCCCACCCGGAATTGTTCTGGCCATATAAATCTGTGAGTCGTCATCAGAGCAGGGATCCTGGCAGCCCTGGTGGGGAACTGAGTGTACCGGAGTCTCATGACATCTACCTCGGCTACGGTTAACCCGAGGCTGAGGAGCAGGAAAGGAAATCCCTTAGGAAACCAGAGGCTCTAGGAAAGGCAGAAAATAGAATAAACCTTCTGGCAGTCCTGACTCCACCATACCTAAGGCAAGAACAAGTAGCCAGCCATTTTCTTGCCGGAGTTGTCTTCGAAATATGCATAACAGAGTTGATGCAGTTCAGAGTTGCGGAAGAATTGCTTCCAGACATTACAGACTCGCAGGAGGTGGAGCTCACGGGGAAGCATGAGAGCAACTGTGACATAACCTTGGCTAATGGCATGGTGACGAATAACTGTCCCCGGAATAATTCCGTGCAATCGTGGAAGTTACTGGAGGAAATGTGATGGTCAGTATTAGAGTGCTGGTAACTTTGAAATGGGAACATCCAATGCTAACTGCACTTGGGCTCCTCTTGAGAAGTTGAGTAGTACTTCCTCTAATTTTTTTTTTAACAATGCCAAGCTGGCTCCTAAATGGTTAGCTATCCGGAAATGTATTTAACTTTGTTCTTCCAACCAACCATGATTCTTAATAAAATCTTAATGTTCCCAGCACTAGGGAACAGTGATCTCTTCACTGGAACCAGCTCTTCAGGACATGAGATTTGAGGTTCCAGTGATGCTGAGATAGTCTATTAAAACCACCTAACACAGGGCAGGAGTGTACCTATCCGACCTGCCCAGCCTCAGGCACTATTTCCAGCCTCCTGGAGCATTTGTATGTCTCTGCCTTGTTTCGGGCTTCTCATATCTGCGCACCTGCATGGGTCTCTGGGACACTGCCACCTTTTGTGCACTGTCCTCCTGAGGGCAGACAGTGCAGGTTCATAGCTTCTGCCCACGGCCTGCCCTGACCCCAGATGAAGGGATCACAGATACACTAAGTATCTTTTATTTCTGCTTTATCGCCTCACACTGTGTCCACTAAATACAGCAGGGCTGGGAAGAACGGCTACCAAACTGTGCCGAGCTTTTCTTCATGGACCTCGTTTTCGTATCTCCTCAATTGTATATTATTTATTTCTTTATGTATTTATTTATGTATTTATTTATTTTTTGGGGGGGGGCGGTTTCGAGACAGGGTTTCTCTGTGGCTTTGGAGCCTGTCCTGGAACTAGCTCTGTAGACCAGGCTGGTCTAGAACTCACAGAGATCCGCCTGCCTCTGCCTCCCGAGTGCTGGGATTAAAGGCTTGCGCCACCATCGCCCGGCACTAATTTTATTTGTATTTATTTATTTATTAAAGATTTCTGTCTCTTCCCCACTGCCAGCTCCCATTTCCCTTTCCCTCCCCTAGTCAGTCCAAAGAGCAATCAGGGTTCCCTGCCCTGTGGGAAGTCCAAGGACTACCCACCTCCATCCAGGTCTAGAAGGGGAGCATCCAAACTGCCTAGGCTCCCACAAAGCCAATACGTGCAGTAGGATCAAAAACCCATTGCCATTGTTCTTGAGTTCTCAGTAGTCCTCATTGCCTGCTATGTTCAGCGAGACCAGTTTTATCCCAGGCTTTTTCAGACCCAGGCCAGCTGGCCTTGGTGAGTTCCCGATAGAACATCACCAATGTCTCGGTGTGTGGGTGCACCCCTCTCAGTCCTGAGTTCCTTGCTTGTGCTCTCTCTCCTTCTGCTCCTGATTTGGACCTTGAGATTTCAGTCCGATGCTCCAATGTGGGTCTCTGTCTCTGTCTCCTTTCATCACCTGATGAAGGTTAATATTCAGGAGGATGCCTATATGTTTTTCTTTGGGTTCTCCTTCTTCTTTAGCTTCTCTAAGAACCCGAATTGTAGGCTCAATGTCCTTTATTTATGGCTAGAAACCAAATATGAGTGAGAACATCCCATGTTCCTCTTTTTGGGTCTGGCTTACCTCACTCAGGATAGTGTTTTCTATTTCCATCCATTTGCCTGCAAACTTCAAGAAGTCCTTGTTTTTTACTGCTGAGTAGTACTCTAATATGTATATATTCCATACTTTCTTCATCCATTCTTCAATTGAAGGGCATCTAGGTTGTTTCCAGGTTCTGGCTATTACAAACAATGCTGCTATGAACATAGTAGAGCATATACTTTTGTTGTATGATAAGGCCTCTCTTGGGTATATTCCCAAGAGTGGTATTGCTGGGTCCAGGGGTAGGTTGATCCCGAATTTCCTGAGAAACCTCCACACTGCTTTCCAAAGTGATTGCACAAGTTTGCATTCCCACCAACAATGGATGAGTGCACCTCTTTCTCCACAACCTCTCCAGCAAAGGCTATCATTGGTGTTTTTGATTTTAGCCCATAGGTTTTAGTATGTTGTCTCTTTATTTTCATTAAATTCAAGGAAGACTTTAATTTCTTTCTTAATTTCTTCCTTGACCCAGGTGTGGTTCAGTAGTTGATTGTTCAGTTTCCATGAGTTTGTCGGCTTTCTGGGGATAGCATTGTTGTTGCCTTCTAACTTTAATCCGTGGTGATCTGATAAGACACAGGTGAACACTGATATTTTTCTGTATCTGTGGAGGTTTCCTTTGTTTCCGAGTATGTGGTCAATTTTTGAGAAGATTCCATGAGCTGCAGAGAAGAAGTTATATTCTTTCCTATTTGGGTGGAGTGTTCTATAGATGTCTGTTAAGTCCATTTGCTTCATTACCTCCAATAATTCTCTTAATTCTCTATTAGGTTTCTGTCTGATTGACCTGTCCGGGAGAGAGAAGTGTGTTGAAGTCTCCTACTACTAGTGTGTATGGTTTGATGTCTGCCTTGAGTTCTAGTAATATTTCTTTTACATAAGTGGGTGCTTTTATATTAGGGGCATAGATATTCAGGATTGAGATGTCATCCTGATGACTTGTTCCTGTTGTGAGTATAAAGTGTCCATCTTGATCTCTTCTGATTGATTTTAGTTTGAAGTCAGTCTTGTTGGAAATTAGTATGGCCACACCTGCTTTTTTCTTAGGGCCATTTGCTTGAAAGACCTTTTCCCAACCTTTTACTCTGAGTAGATGCCTATCTTTGTGGTTGAGATGTGTTTCTTGCAAACAGCAGAATGTTGGATCCTGTTTTTGTATCCAGTCCCTTAGCCTGTGCCTTTTTATAGGTGAATTGAGACCATTAATATTAAGAGATATTAATGACCAGTATTTTTTTATTCCGGTTATTCTTATTGTTTTTGGTAGTAGAGTTTGTGTCTGTCCCTTCTTTGAGTTGTGCTGGTGAAGGTTCGCTAGATGCCTGAGTTGTTGTAGGCAGTGTTGGCAATGTTGGATTCCTTGGGTTGCGATTTTCCTTCCATTACTTTCTGTAGGGCTGGATTTGTGGCAACGTATTGTTTAAATTTGTTCTTATCCTGGAATGCCTTGTTTTCTCCATTGATAGTGAACACTAGCTTGGCTGGGTATAGAAGTTTGGGTTTGCATCCATGGTCTCTTAGTTTTTGAAGTACCTCTATCCAGGACCTTCTGGCTTTCATGGTTTCCATAGAGAAGTCAGGTGTAAGTCTGATTGGTTTACCTTTATAAGTTACTTGGCCTTTTTCCTTTGCAGCTCTTAATATTCTTTCTTTAACCTGTATATTTTGTGTTTTGATTATTATATGGCGAGGGGATGCTTTTCTTTGATCCAGTCTGTTTGGTGTTCTGTATGCTTCTTGGATATTCAAAGGAATATCTTTCTTTATGTTGGGAAAGTTTTCTTCCATAATTTTGTTAAATATATTTTCTGGGCCTTTGAGCTGTAATTCTTCCCCTTCTTCTATTCCTATTATTCTCAGGTTTGGTCTTTTTATTGTGTCCCATATTTCCTGAATGTTTTGTGATGAGAATTTGTTGGCTTTGCTGTTTTCTTTGATCAGTGCGTTTATTTTCTCTATGGTGTCTTCAGAATCTGAGATTCTTTCTTCTATTTCTTGTATTCTATTGATTATGCTTGTTTCTGTAGGCTCTGCTCGTTGACCTAGATTTTCCGTATCCAGCTGGTCCCCAGTTTGTGCTTTCTTCCTTGCTTCCATTTCAGTTTTCAATTCTTGAACTGTTTCCATTACCTGTTTGTTCGTTTTTTCTTGGTTTCCCAGGGTCTCATGTACGTATTTACTCAATTCTTCAAACTTTTTGTTATACTTCTCATCCATTTCTATAAAGGTGTTTTTTACATGTTGTTTAAGGGACTCTATTGCTTTCATAAAGTCAATTTTTTCCACTTCTGTGTTAGGGTGTTCAAGTCCTTCTGTTGTAAAATCATTGGGTTCTGGTGTTTTCAT